TGTGATGTATAATGTCTTCCATCTTTTGTCGTGAGAAACAGATATTTTTCCTCTTTCCTTTTGTTTGACACTTTCCTCCTTCATTATTTATTGTTTCAAAGTAAAAGTCAAAGAACAAGAACATCACAATAACAGGAAATAAAGAACGATGTGTTATAACAGAGGCTGACACTCGGACCAAAACTCAAGGCGAGTGTCGGTCTGAAGCACTAAATTAGAAATGTTTTGATGTCGCTCGCCAAGTGAGGATCTCGTAATTGCTGTGCTTTGTGTGTGGCTGTGCGGGGTCACTCCTGTACAGAGGAGGTGGAAGGGGAAAGGTCAAGATTTATGTTAAATGAAGGAGGTCTGAGGGAGAACAGTTTGATTAAGGGGGAGAGAAGGAAAGAGGGTCGTGAGGAATTGGACGCTATTTGCTGAAAAGAATCTTTTTAGGGAGGAGGCGGACATTGTTATGAGCAGGAGTAGTAACAAAAGGGTAATTTGGTAAACTATTAGAGAGAAGTATATTTTTATTATGGCGAAAATAATGAATAAATGGTATATATTATTTCCCGAGATTATGTAAGAGGATATGTAGGGAGGAAAATATTTTTATTATGTAATCTTTCTCTCGGGTGAAAGGAGAAAAAACAAGTAGGGGTGATGAAGGGCGTTTGTCTCCTGATGGGGGTAAGGGTGATGAAGGGCGTGTGTCTCTGATGGGGTAGGGTGATGAAGGGCGTGTGTCTCCTGATGGGGGTATGAGGGGTGATGAAGGGCGTTTGTCTCCTGATGGGGGGTAGGGGTGATGAAGGCGTTTGTCTCCTGATGGGGGGTAGGGGTGATGAAGGGCGTTTGTCTCTGGATGGGGGTAGGGGTGATGAAGGGCGTTTGTCTCCTGATGGGGGGTAGGGGTGATGAAGGGCGTTTGTCTCCTGATGGGGGGTAGGGGTGATGAAGGGCGTTTGTCTCCTGATGGGGTGGGGTGATGAAGGGCGTTTGTCCTGATGGGTAGGGGTGATGAAGGGCGTTTGTCTCCTGATGGGGGGTAGGGGTGATGAAGGGCGTTTGTCTCTTGATGGGGTAGGGGTGATGAAGGGCGTTTGTCTCCTGATGGGGGTAGGGGTGATGAGGCGTTTGTCTCCTGATGGGGTAGGGGTGATGAAGGGCGTTTGTCTCCTGATGGGGGTAGTGATGAAGGGCGTTTGTCTCCTGATGGGGGGTAGGGGTGATGAGGGCGTTTGTCTCTTGATGGGGGGTAGGGGTGATGAGGGCGTTTGTCTCCTGATGGGGGGTAGGGGTGATGAAGGGCGTTTGTCTCCTGATGGGGGTAGGGGTGATGAAGGGCGTTTGTCTCCTGATGGGGGTAGGGGTGATGAAGGGCTGTCTCCTGATGGGGGGTAGGGGTGATGAAGGGCGTTTGTCTCCTGAGATGGGGTAGGGGTGATGAAGGGCTTGTCTCCTGATGGGGGTAAGTTTTTGATCCATATGTCAGTAAGATGTAAGTGTGGTACCAGACCTGACCGCTAGCCTATTCTCTCTCTCTCTCTTTTTCTCCTTCTTTTTCTTTCTTTTTTGTTCTTTATCTCTCTCTCTCTCTCTCTCTCTCTCTCTCTCTCTCTCTCTCTCTCTCTCTCTCTCTCTCTCTCTTCTCTCTCTCTCTCTCTCTCTCTCTCTCTCTCTCTCTCTCTCTCTCTCTCTCTCTCTCTCTCCTCTCTCTCTCTCTCTCTCTCTCTCTCTCTCTCTCTCTCTCTCTCTCTTCTCTCCCTCTTTCCCTCCCTCTCTCTCTCTCCCTCCTGGTAGTGTTATTATAACTCTTTCCTCTCACTTTCTCTCATTTATTTCAAAGGACTTCATTCCAGGAGTATAATTCTCCTTCACACCGTTCATTTTACTCATTTCCTTCCTCCTTACATAAATATATTTCACCCCTTCAGTCTTTTAGCTTGAAATATATCCCTTAGAACCTTATACTGTGAATTATTAGGATATTTTTTCGTCTTTTTTCTTTTCTCTATATATATATATATATATATATATATATATATATATATATATATATATATATATATATATATATATATATATATATATATATATATATATATATATATATTTTTTACGTACAGGTATGTTCTGTCATTTTATTTTCATTATTCTTGCAACACACACACACACACACACACACACACGTACACTCACACACACACACACACACACTACACACACACACACACCACACACACACACACACACACACACACACACACACACACACACACACACACACACTCACACACACACACACACACACATCACACACACACACACACACACACACACACACACACACACACACACACACACACACACACACACACACACACATCACACACACACACACACACACCACACACACACTCACACACATACATACACATGTACACACACACACACACACACGCACACACACACACACACACAAACACACAAACACACGTACACACACACACACACACATACACACACACACACACACACACGTACACACACACACAAAAAACAAACTACACAAACACACATGAAACAACACACACAAACACAACACACACACACACACACACACACACACACTCCCACACACACACACACACACACACACACCGTACACACACACACACACACACACACACACACACACACACACACACACACACACACACACACACACACACACGTACACACACACACACACACACACACACACAGACACACACGTACACACATCACACGCACACACACACGTACACACACACACACACACACACACACACTACACACACACACACACACACACACCTATTTTCCTCTATGCCTCATAACCATTATTTTCAACCTATCTCCCAACTTTTTCCTATTTTTCTTCTTAACTCATTTTTCTTCCTGACTCTCAATCATCCCTTTCTCTTCCTCCTCCTCCTCCTCAATTTTTTTCGTTAATATATATTTTTTCTCTTTCACTTTCCGTTACATATTTCTTTCACTTCTCATTCTCTCTCTCATCTGTCTGTCTGTCTCTGTCTCTGTCTCTGTCTCTGTCTATCTCTTTTATCTCTTCTCCCTATCTGCCTGTCTGTCAGTCTGTCTGTCTGTTAGCACCTCTCTCTCTCTCTCTCTCTCTCTCTCTCTCTCTCTCTCTCTCTCTCTCTCTCTCTCTCTCTCTCTCTCTCTCTCTCTCTCTCTCTCTCTCTCTCTCCTCCCATTACTCAAGTCTTGGGAGACAATTTCACCTCATTCTCGTATCTTACATTTTTCTTAACACTTTCCGCCGGTTTTCTTCATACACACTTTCTACCCAGCTCTTTGTCTTCCTGTGTTATCATTCTTCTTTTTCTTCCTTTCTGCTTTGTCTTCCTTTCTTCTTTGTATACCTTTCCTCTTTGTCTTCCTTTCATTCTTGTCTTCTTTTCTTCCGTCATATAAATTTCTTGAGAATTGTTTTCGTTCTCTGGTTTTGTCTTGTTTTGTCTTTCCTCTCTATCTCTCTTCTTTCCTTTCATTGTCTTGTCTTTTCTTATTTTCTCTCGTCTTCTCTTCTCTTATTCTATTCTATCTTTTATTTCAAATTTCTTTCGTTATTTATGGTATCTATCTTCTTCCTCTTCTTCCTTCTCCTTCTATCCCTTCCTCCTCCTTCTGCTATCACCTCCTCCTTCTCCTCCTCCTCCTTTCATTCCCACAACTTCATCCTTAAAGTATTACGACCTCATCTTCTTCCTCTTTCTCTTCCTCCACCCCCTCATCTCCTCCTCCTCTTCCACCCCCCTCATCCTCCTCTTCCTCCTTCTTCTTCCATCTCACATTATCCTTATAGTACCACATCTACCCTCCCCTACCCCCTCCTCTCCTCCTACCACCTCCTCCCCCTCCTTCCCCCTCCATTTAACTTCCTAGAAATATCAAGACATTAGCTAACATCTCAACGAGCAATCAGTGTGTGAGACCCGTGGTGGAATCTGACTTACAACTGACCGCTCGTAACATAACTAACAACTCGACCCAATGGTGTAGTTATAATATTTTTCGAGACCTTGTGATGGTTAGTGGCCGAGGGGGGTGTTGGGGGTGTGGGGTGGGGGGGGGAGGTAGGGGTGGGGGTGAGGGAGGTAGTGGTGGGGGTGATGTAAAGGAGGAGAGGGTGTATTGGTTAGGGGAAGAAGGAGGGCGGTGGTGGTGGTTGGTGAAAGTGGTGTTGGTGGTAGTTGTGATGGTGGTAGTGGTGGTTATGGTGATAATTGTGGTAGTCTTGGTAATGGAGGTTGTTCTAGTGTGGTAGTGTACTTGGTAGTGGTGTTCGTGGTGCTGGTGATGTTAGAAAAAGAGTGTTGTTGTTGTTGTTGCTGGTGGATTCTCAAGCAGCGTGTTGTCAGTATTAACTCTTGTGCTCAAAAATTTCCAGCTATTGTTGGTTGTATTTGTCCCTCACCATCTCCCCTAACCTAACCTAACCTAACCTAACCTAGACGAGCTTCATGCATCTCGCTGAATGTCTTGTAACCTTCCTGATGCCACGTTATACAATACTCTTATTTAACTAACTTGCCACACAGCCTTTGGCAACAGGTGATTGGCTTAAAAACACGGACACATTATAACACAGCGTCAGATTAAACTCACATTGATGGCTTAAAGTATACATTATATGAAGCATCATCACGATAAACAGTAGTCGAGTGGTTAATGGCTTAGTGGCGCACATTATGGGGTAATCTTGACATAAATATAACTCGAGTGCTTAATGGCGTAAACAAAAAAACTCCACACATTATGATGCAACGCAGGAGGTAAACACAACTCTGGTGCTTAATGGTGCAGGCGGCGCACATCATGAGGCAACCTCGGGGTAAATACAACTCGAGTGCTTAAACACACATTGAAAATGAGAACAAATTTGGTTTATAGGAGTTTTACGAGCGGATAAAGGGCAGGCGCCGAGCTGTGTCTCGTATTTCACCATTATGGCCGCGTTTGTTGACTCTCGGCAGACGCACTTTTCTTGCCCTGCCTTCCTCTACTGCTCTCAATACCTTCTTGGTGAGTGATGTGAGAGGTAAAGGAAGGAGCAGGCTGGCTGGTGGTGCTGCCTCGGTCTGTGTACTCAATGGCTGCCTTGCTCCCGAGACCACCCTGGGAAAAAAAATACCCAATTGTACTGCGTCACAGTCTGTGTACTCAATGGCCGCCTCACTCCCGAGACCGTCCTGGGAGAAGAAAATTATGTAAACGATGAATACATAGACAAACACTATTTACTAAAAGAACAACATATACCTATAGAGTTTTGCTCTTGTTTATACTGTATCAACGCACGAAATTCAAGAAGAAAAATATTGCTAACTAATTGGGTATAAATTTTAGGCAAAATATACTGATTCCAAACTGAGAATCAAAATACTTTATTTATGCTATCTCCCAGAGCTTAACATTTGAGAGAAAGATAATAACTCAAAACTAAAATAAACTTGTAATAAAGTTATATAATCCGCCATCTTGCCTGAATGCCGTGCACTTGATTTTTTTTTAATTTACGTCGCATCGATCGCTAAAGTTATTTAATATCCTGCAGGAAAACATAAACCCTTTGATCCGTGCTTGAGGCGGCACTTCATAGGATGTTCTGAATTCCTCTATGAAGCGGCAGCAATGCATGGTAAGCAAGGCAGTGACATTGTGGGAGAAGAATGAGCCGACGCCTTTCACGGTTATTGCCGCTAGGGGAGGACGGGGTCTCCCTCCCTCCCACAAATCAATCTCTCCCACTATCCTCTGACAGCCTGGGGGAAGAGGAGGCGGGGTGAGAGAGAGAGAAAGACTCCTGGTTCACTGCGGTAATCCTAAAGAAACGCCTTTCCTTGTGTGGAATTCTCAACCTTGGACAGACGAGAGGATCTGCCGCCAGGGTGAGCGATCATCTCTTTTGAAGCACCATCACCTTTCCTAGACCACAAGATGGCTGCCGGACTCAAGCCCACCTAATCTAACCTAACCTAACCTGACCTAACTTAACCTAACCACCTTCCCTAGACCACAATTTGGCTGCCGGACACAAGCCCATCTAACCCAACCCAACCCAATCTAGCAGAATCTTAAGCGCTTAAACAAACTTAAGTTGGGTGAATGTCGGTCACAAAACTCTGCTTTTATTTTATAATTTGATCCAACAAAAGTATTTTATTAGATTTATTGACGAGGTTTCAAACACATCCTCTCAAAAAATATATTGTCTATATTCCTCATAATTTTTCGGACGTAAAGGCTTACGTACGTCACTGCTGCTCCCTGATACATTATGAATGAGGCCTGATACATTCTAAATGTACCTGGTAGGATTAGCGACGATCCTTCATGAATTATTAATGAACATAGTTACTCTGTAAACGAGTCACTGAACCCGAGGCTTTGATTCCTTCCTCTGTATTGTTATGTATATTAGTTTTGTCTGTTTATTCTAATTTCTTTCTTTAGTCTTTATTTAAATGCTTTGTATTCGCAACAACAGACACTTATACTTATCACTGAGTATTTGCCCCACTAGAGCAAGACAATTGGGTGTATCAAACATGTAATACTTAATAACACAAACTAAGCGGAGCATTACAACTTTTTATACCCAACAATATGATAACAGTAGCCCCTTTTATCACACCAAGGAGATAACATTTTAGACCACAAGGAGGTTATCACTACGCATGAGAGCACCTGTTACTCAGAGATGTCTGTAAAACGGTGAATATAAGTCTCTCCTCAGTGTACACCTGTCATTATAATGTATTCAATTAAAACAATAAACAAGACTCTACTAATTATGTCTTCAGGTTCCCATTTATCTACCTGTACTATATACCTGTCACTATCTTAAAAGGTAAATTGTCATTACATCTCTTCAGTCATTTTCTTCAGCATAACCCGGAAATAATATCTTTGCATATATAACATACTACCCCCATATATCTGGTTCATGTGTTAGCGAGCGTCGTATAGGATCAGTGCATTATATTAAGATCATATACAGTATACTCAGGCCAGTATATCCAAGGTAGTCTATTCCCGCTAACAATCTCCTTACTGTGTGTAGTCCATAAAAGATGAAATAAGAATCTCGTGTTTTATGAAGCTTCCCTCGTTGTTTGTAATGTAAGAGGTGTTTAGTGTGTGATGGTGCTTTAATGTAAACTTCACACTTAGACATAAATTTCACAATGTAAACTTCACACTTATTAGACGTAAACTTCACACTTATTAGACGTAAACTTCACACTTAATAGACGTAAACTTCACACTTAATGTAAACTTCTCACTTAATAGGAGAAACTTCACACTTAATGTAAACTTCACACTTATTAGACGTAAACTTCACACTTAATGTAAACTTCTCACTTAATAGGAGAAACTTCACACTTAATGTAAACTTCACACTTATTAGACGTAAACTTCACACTTAATATAAACTTCTCACTTAATAGGAGAAACTTCACACTTAATGTAAACTTCACATGTATTAGACGTAAACTTCACACTTAATGTAAACTTGACACTTATTAGACGTAAACTTCACACTTAATGTAAACTTCTCACTTAATAGGAGAAACTTCACACTTAATGTAAACTTGACACTTATTAGACGTAAACTTCACACTTAATGTAAACTTCTCACTTAATAGGAGAAACTTCACACTTAATGTAAACTTCACACTTATTAGACGTAAACTTCACACTTAATGTAAACTTCTTACTTAATAGGAGAAAATTCACACTTAATGTAAACTTCTCACTTATTAGACGTAAACTTCACACTTAATGTAAACTTCTCACTTAATAGGAGAAAATTCACACTTAATGTAAACTTCTCACTTATTAGACGTAAACTTCACACTTAATGTAAACTTCTCACTTAATAGGAGAAACTTCACACTTAATGTAAACTTCACACTTATTAGACGTAAACTTCACACTTAATGTAAACTTCTCACTTAATAGGAGAAACTTCACACTTAATGTAAACTTCACACTTATTAGACGTAAACTTCACACTTAATGTAAACTTCTTACTTAATAGGAGAAAATTCACACTTAATGTAAACTTCTCACTTATTAGACGTAAACTTCACACTTAATGTAAACTTCTCACTTAATAGGAGAAAATTCACACTTAATGTAAACTTCTCACTTATTAGACGTAAACTTCACACTTAATGTAAACTTCTCACTTAATAGGAGAAACTTCACACTTAATGTAAACTTCACACTTATTAGACGTAAACTTCACACTTAATGTAAACTTCTCACTTAATAGGAGAAACTTCACACTTAATGTAAACTTCACACTTAATGTAAACTTCACACTTAATGTAAACTTCACACTTAATGTAAACTTCACACTAATAGACATAAATTTCACAAATAGAAGTAAACAGATTGAAGCTCCTCGACTCTGCTAGTTAAGGCTATTAGACTCTTCTATCAATACTACTGACACATCTGGACTGGACTTATTGAGACGCCTGGACTGGAGTGGTTAAGTGGACTGGGCTGGACTGGACTGGTTGAGTAGACTGGACTGGACTGGTTAAGTGGACTGGGCTGGACTGGACTGGTTGAGTGGACTGGACTGGACTGGTTGAGTGGACTGGACTGGACTGTTTGAGTGGACTGGACTGGACTGGTTGGAGTGGACTGGACTGGACTGTTTGGAGTGGACTGGACTGGTTCAGTTGGAGTGGACTGGGCTGGACTGGACTGGTTGGAAGTGAACTGGACTGGTTGATGGACTGGACTGGACTGGTTGAAGGTGGACTGGGCTGTACTGGACTGGACGAGTGGAGCCAGACTGGACTGGTTTAGTGGACTGGACTGGTTGAGTGGACTGGGGCTCTGGACTGGGTTGAGTGGACTGGACTGGTTGGAGGTGGACTGGACTGGGTTGGTGGACTGGGACTGGACTGGTTGGAGTGGACTGGACTGGACTGGGTTTGGAGTGGGCTGGACTGGTTGGAGTGGACTGGACTGGACTGGTTGGAGTGGACTGGACTGGACTGGTTGGGGTGGGACTGGACTGGACTGGTTGGAGTGGACTGGACTGGTTGGAGTGGACTGGACTGGTTGAGTAGACTGGACTGGTTTAGTGGACTGGACTGGTTTAGTGGACTGGACTGGTTGAGTGGACTGGACTGGACTGGTCTGGTCTGGTTGAGTGGACTGGACTGGACGGCTGAGTGGACTTGACTGGACTGGCTGAGTGGACTGGACTGGTTGGGACTTGGGACTTCTGGACTGGACACTTCACTAACACACAAACACACACACATACACACTGGGTCCGGGTATGTTTTTTCCGTGGAGTGACTGAGACTGCGTGTAATCTGTAAAGTTGGCGGAGAAATTGGAGAAAGCTGGAGTGTTAAACCGTGACTATTGTGGAGTTTTTTTTTCTCTTGAAGGAGTTGAGGAGTTGAGTTTTGTCTTGTTCGTCCCGTCGACACCTTCTGCAGTAGTTTCTCCCCGTGTTAGAATATGATACAGAGACAGAAGTACTTTATACTATACATCAAGGAGGTACTTTTTGTACTTATACGAGTGCTTCAATACAATGACCCGAATAGGCAGAAGGGAGGGGGAGGGAGAGGAGGGGGAGAGTGGAGGGAGAGGAGAGGGAGAGAGGAGAGTGGAGGGAGAGGAGAGGGAGAGAGGAGAGTGGAGGGAGAGGAGAGGGAGAGAGGAGAGTGGAGGGAGAGGAGAGGGAGAGAGGAGAGTGGAGGGAGAGGAGAGGGAGATAGGAGAAGAGGAGAGGGTGGGGGAGATAGGAGGAGGGAAAGCAGGATTCAGAAGAGGTCATGCGTTATTCCTTCTCATAATTAGAGGTGTAAGAACAGGAATTACCTGGATTATTAAAACCCATAATATCTAATATGACTCGAAAATTACCTGAGATTCTACCTTAATTGGATTTTTTTCTTAGCACCAATTAGTAGAGAAACTTACCTTATATACAAAATCATTTACAGGTATTATTATTTATAAGTGAAAGATTTTCCTAAATAAATGAATAAAATTCTCATTAAAAAAATAAATAAATAAACAATCGTTGTTCCTTTAAAAAATAAAATTAAACTGCCCATTTGTCTCTTAAAAAAAATCGGTTGTCCCTTTAAAAAGAAAAAAAATCGCGTGTCCCTTTAAAAAACATTAAAGTTTCGACCTTTCTTTCTTTCTCGACTGACAGAAATACGAGGAAAGTGTAAAATAACAGTATAAAAGCGTGGAAGCATAGGAAGCGACAATCAAAGTGAAAGACAAATTGAACGCAAATGGTGGGCCGGTGATGAAAGTGTTTTGAGGTAAATAAATTCTCTTTTTTTCTCTTTGGATCTTCTCTGTCTGTCTGTGTCTGAATGTATATGTGTGTGTAGCTTAGTGTATGTGTATATTCTGTGTGTGTAAGTGTCTGTCTGTCTGTCTGTCAATCTATATATTTGATTGTCTGACTATGTATGTGTGTGTGTCAGCGTCGTCCTAGGTAACCACAGGCACAAGGAGAAGGTAAACACGCGAAGAACGCATTACCTGGCGGCCTTACTGAGTGCTGGTGAGCCTTACCTTACCTGCCGTGTCTAGTGAAGACCTGACTGCCTAAAAATACTAGTTGACCCTACTAGCACCCGTAGTAGGAGGTTTGACTGCTAGTATTTTCTATGGCTAGTTTCACCTTATCTATGTCGCTGTTATGATTTTATCGGTATTATCCCCAGTTGTTTTTACCTTCATACAGAGAAACAGATAGACAGACAGACAGACAGACAGACAGACAGACAGACAGACAGGCAGGTAGAAAGATAGATTAAAACGAAATAAAAATATAAATGACTGTATATAGCGAAAATAAATATCAAAACAACACCTGTAAGAATACATAGAGATACAGAAATAAGAATATTCCCTCCCGCTCGTGTACCAAGAGATACATTAACGAGGAAACTTACAGAAACACCTGGGAAAAAGAAACACACAACTGGAGAAAGAGCAGAGGTTTTTATAGCCAGGGAAACTACGTGGCAGACAGGTGGTGAAAACAAAGTATGAATGTGGCAGACAGGTAGACGTTATTATAGAAGAGAAGGTAGGCGTAATTATGGCAGACAGGTAGGCGTAGTTATGGCAGACAGGTAGGCGTAGTTATGGCAGTCAGGGAGGCGTAGTTATGGCAGTCAGGGAGGCGTAATTATGTCAGACAGGTAGGCGTAATTATGGCAGACAGGTAGGCGTAGTTATGGCAGTCAGGGAGGCGTAGTTATGGCAGTCAGGGAGGCGTAATTATGGCAGACAGGTAGGCGTAATTATGACAGACAGGTAGGCAAATAAACACCTGTCTACTCATTAAAAGATAAATAAGAGACATAGAAACCGTGACAAAAACAATAAAATTTTAGTCTCAGGTAAATGTTTTGGTTATGGGAGTTGTGAGTCGAGTTGTGAGTCGAGTTGTGAGTCGAGTTGTGAGTCGAGCTGTGAGTCGAGCTGTGAGTCGAGATGTGAGTCGAGTTGTGAGTCGAGTTGTGAGTCGAGATGTGAGTCGAAATGTGAGTCGAGCTGTGAGTCGAGATGTGAGTCGAGCTGTGAGTCGAGATGTGAGTCGAGTTGTGAGTCGAGATGTGAGTCGAGATGTGAGTCGACATGTGAGTCAAGTTGTAAGTCGAGATGTGAGTCAAGTTGTGAGTCGAGTTGTGAGTCTAATTGTTTGTCGAGTTGTGAGTCGAGCTGTGAGTCGAGCTGTGAGTCGAGCTGTGAGTCGAGATGTGAGTCGAGTTGTGAGTCGAGTTGTGAGTCGAGCTGTGAGTCGAGCTGTGAGTCGACATGTGAGTCAAATTGTGAGTCGAGTTGTGAGTCGAGCTGTGGGTCGAGATGTGAGTCGAGATGTGAGTCGACATGTGAGTCAAGTTGTAAGTCGAGATGTGAGTCGAATTGTGAGTCGAATTGTGAGTCGTGGGTCACCTTTCTTCACATTATATCTCTGATCTACTAAGTACTCCACCTCGATAAAGGTCAATAATAGACCCCTGGAGGACGACCTTGAAGCAATAACTCCAAAGGTCTTAACACCTCAAAAACAAATAATAATAATAATAATAATAATGATAATAAACACAACAAAATCTTCATAAAAACAAAGGTAAACCAACAATTTATATTAACACGCCATTGAAAGAGAAAATAATCCCAAGTTATAAATCAATTGTATAATCCGGATATTCACCATTTATCAAAATATATTATGGAATGATTTACGGGGCAGCCATTCATGATAACATAATAACAAACCCTGAAGAAATATATTGCATGTATGATGGGGCGGGAGGGGGGAGAGGAGGAGGAAGATGAGGGGGGAAGAGAAAAGGAGAAGTAGGAGGAGAAAAAGGAGGAGGAGGGAGCCAGAAGGAAGAGGGGGAGGGGGAGAAGAAGAAGGAGGAGACTGTAAACACACAGGAGGGAGACAGGTGCAACAAAGGCGGCTGTGTTTAAGAGGCCCTTCACCTGTCATCATCGTTCCCCTTGTATGGTCAGAGCCTCGGTGACTGATGGCGGTAAGTGGTAGTGGGAGGTGTGGTTATGTAAAGGGTCTGACACGTGTTGGTGTGTGTGTGTGTGTGTGTGTGTGTGTGTGTGTGTGTGTGTGTGTGTGTGTGTGTTAGTATCCTGACATCTGAGAATCGCAATAACTTAAACAAATAAACAAAGATTTACAAGAAATTAATTAGTGGAAATTACTCAACAGGTTATCATAAGACGTCGAAAATGTGTTACTGTTATCTATATATTTAGAGGTAACATGACTGAGAGCCAGAAGCCTATGGTGTTAAATTCGTGTAAATGGTTCCTGACGAAATCTACATCAAAAAATTTCAGTTCCCAGTTGCATATTAAAACACAGTCAATTTAGTCGTCCTTCAAATATGCAAAACAAAAACCCAAGTTAAAAGGTATTCGAACCCTAAAGGAAAGAGTTACATACGGCAATGCAGACGATTTATTATTTAACCCTTTGAATAAACTAACACGATGCAGGAGGGGGAGATCCAATCATGTCAGACCAAACCTCGACTTATATTTCAGCTCTCGACACAACGACACGTCCCGCTGGCAGGAAATGTCGGGTGTAACGTGAATTTTGTTATTTGTATCCTGTGATATTATTCAAGTTCCGACGATCACGTATTTCAACCCAGGATATTTTACTCGTTAATAATGATGATTCAATAAACGTTTGTGTAGACTTTTTAAAGGTCGGGCAAGTGACATTTGTAGTTTTTTTTACACCACTAGACAATTGGATTAAAAACACGTGTAGAAAATCAGTATATATATATATATATATATATATATATATATATATATATATATATATATATATATATATATATATATATATATATATATATATATATATATATATATAAAAGTCTATTCTCTCCTCTTTCCTTCTTTCTCTTCGCTTCTTCTCCCACTCTTCCTCGTATTTCTGCTCCTCTTCCTTCCTTCTCTTCTTCCTCCTCCCCTGCCTTCCTCCTCCTCTTCCCCCTTCTTCCTCCTCCTCTTCCCTCACCCCCACTCCCCTATTATATGACAAATGGTCCACTTACGAAGGGTCTAATATGAACAAAAAATCTATGGACACGTGATATATAGGAGAGGAGGCAGCCAATCTTGACCCGGTGAAGGAGACACAATGCACCTCGTGACGCCTGGACGAGTCACCGTAATGTCGCCTTTCTTCCCGACCGCTCACGTGATGATGCACGGGTGGAAAGTTGAGGTCCGCCGTTGTGTGTGTTAGTTCCTACATAACTTCCGTTCTACAGTTTCCTTTCTATAGTGTTTGTTATACAGTGTTCGCTCTATGGTGTCCGTTATACAGTGTTCGTTCTATGGTGTCCGTTATACAGTGTTCGTTCTATGGTGTCCGTTATACAGTGTTCGCTCTATGATGCCCGTTATACAGTGTTCGTTCTATGGTGTCCGTTATACAGTGTTCGTTCTATGGTGCCCGTTATAGAGTGTTCGTTCTATGGTGCCCGTTATAGAGTGTTCGTTCTATGGTGCCCGTTATACAGTGTTCGTTCTATGGTGTCCGTTATACAGTGTTCGTTCTATGGTGCCCGTTATACAGTGTTCGTTCTATGGTGTCCGTTATAGTGTTCGTTCTGGTGTCCGTTATACGGTGGCTTCGTTCTATGGTGCCCGTTATACAGTGTTCGTTCTATGGTGCCCGTTATACAGTGTTCGTTCTATGGTGTCCGTTATACAGTGTTCGTTCTATGGTGTCCGTTATACAGTGTTCGTTCTATGGTGCCCGTTATACAGTGTTCGTTCTATGGTGCCCGTTATACAGTGTTCGTTCTATGGTGTCCGTTATCCACTTTACAGCAGGCATCGAAAGGGTGGGAAGGAAAGAGGAAGGGGGAGAGTGAGAGGGGGTAGGAAAGGAGGGAGGGGGGGAGGGACTGGCCAATACATAACGTATATGTCACTCATTTTTGGAATGGCCAGATGAATAGATTATAAACCAAAGCCCTATTTGTTGTGTGTCTGTGTGTCTTGTGTCTGTCTGCCTGCCTGTCTGTCTGTGTGTCTGTCTGCCTGCCTGCCTGTCTGTCTGTTTGTCTGTCTGTCATTGGACTAAAACCGAGGTGGATTTTTTTTTCTGTGTGAGGCCAGAGTTATTTTTCCTTGTTTGGTCACTGGGGGAAAAAAAAGTGCTGTGAATGTTCACCTCCACTGATTTATAATTTGTCCCAAGGTTGAGCGGAGAATGAACCTACTATCCTTTGAATAAGAGAGAGAGAGAGAGAGAGAGAGAGAGAGAGAGAGAGAGAGAGAGAGAGAGAGAGCATCGATCAGTAATACCACCACCATCTTATCTACCACTACCACCACCAGCCACTACTACAACTACCATAACCACCACAGCCACCAATCACCACCACACCAACCACCTACCACCCACACACTCCACTACCCATACCAACCCACCTACCAACCACTACCTTTACCCACCAGCACCACACCACCACCAACCACTTACCACCACAATCACTTACCACCACCAACCACTTACCACCATAACCACTTACCACCACCAACCACTTACCACCACCAACCACTTACCACCACCAACCACCACTACCCACCAACCTACCACCAATCACCACCCACTCCAGCCACCACTACCACCAACCGCACCACCACCAACCACCCCACCCACCACCAACCACTTACCACCACCAACCACTTACCACCACCTAACCACACCACCACCAACCACTAACCACCTCCTAAACAGGTGAAATATGTGTTGTAAGTGAAAACGTTTCAGTCTGGCATCTGTCTCACGTAACTCCAATCCCAGACGGAATAGATTAGCGTTGGGGTAACACGTGAGGAATGCCTTGGTGCATATTCTCAAAGGCAAAATAAGGGTGAGTGATCTCTCTACTGTGTGGGCTGATATGTTCCTTCATCACAGCAGCAGGAGAGATACCAAAGCGTGGGTTAAGGTGTGTGGGTTGTGGGGGTGTGGGTGTTGGTGGGGGTGGGTAACATTGTGATTGCCACTTACTAACACTTACTGACAAAGCCTGACACTACATGACACTACTTGACACTACCTGACACTACCAGACATTGCCTGACACTATCTGGCACTACCTGACACTACCTGACACCCTACATAAGGCCATCCTGACTTCAAAAACCTAAGTCATTATTGTACGACACTCAAAACGTAGAACAACTTCCGGCTCACGTACGATAGTCGGTAATTTATTTGTATATTATTTATGACATAACAAACTGACACCTGACGATAAGATGAAATATTGTTTATAAAATTAAGTCAAAATCGATGTTTCCTTAGATGATGATATTGTGATACCTGTGATTACCTGTTGGTGTAGGGTAGGTGTTGTTGTTTTTTTATTATTGTTTTTTTTTTACGGAGATTAGCCCACCCAGGCACAGGTCACTGACCCACATCGGGGCCTAGGGGGCGAAAATGTAATAATAATAATAATAATAATAATAATAATAATAATAATAATAATAATAATAATAATAATAATAATAATAAACCATAAAAAAATACAAAATGAAAAAAAAATCAAAAGTGAGAAACAATATATGTATGTTGTGTTGTCAATATTAAGAGAAACAATTGAGACCCTGCAATTGTGTGTAAATGAGGCAGAAAGTCAGATCAGCAACCTGGGACTTGGTCACAGTTTTCGTGAAGCCATATGGCAGCAGGGTCTACCATTAGACAACACATTATGCTTCCAATATCTTCCCAGGCGGTAGGACCTCCCTGTTTGGTAGCTGCCTACTACCTACAGTACTACCTACTAAGGGTTGAGAGGTGAGGAGGAGGAGGAAGAAGAAGTTGAGATGAAGTTAACTTGAGAGGGTAAGAGATGAGGAGGAGGAGGAGGGGGCAAGAGCGTGTGGAGGAGGAGTGGTAAGAGGAGGACCTAGTTGAGGATGGAGGAGGAGGAGGAAGAGGTTGGAGAGAAGGAAGAGGAGGAGGAGGATGAGGTACCAACGTGGGTGGAGTATTAATCACATTGACTTGGGGGAAATTAAATTCTCCCAAAGAAAGTTTATTTTTTTCCCCTCTGAAGATTTCCTGTACTGGTCTGAGGTTCTCTTAACTCTACGAGAAAACACACGAAATAGAATGAAAAATATCTTAACTCATTCCTTCTTCTTTACTTTCTTCTTTCGTCAACCTGAAAATGAAAGAAAAAATGTCTTAATCTTGTTTTTCTTTCATTTCCTTCTACTAGAGAATTGAAAGAAAGTGATAGAAAATGTCTAA